GAGGTCTCTTGACAAGACTCTTGAAGAGATCTTTCTATAAGAGATCTCCACAGAAGATCTCTGTAGGGGATCTCAAAGTAAGATCTCTGTTCAAGATCTCTAAAAACGATCTCTGAGCAAGATCGCTGCTATCTTCACCAGGTCTCTGGACAAGATCTCTAAGAGGTCTCCTGGCAAGATCTCTGTACAAGATCTCTGCAAGAGGTCTCTTTGCAAGATCTCTGAACAAGATCTCCATAAGAGGTCTCTTGGCAAGATCTCTGTCCAAGCTCCCTCTTGGCGATTGGCAAGATTTCTGATTGAGATGTCTTGTTGTGTGTGATCCTCAATCGAAATGCACATGGACATGTCATCAGAGCAATTTTGCGCGGAAATCTACAGGGAAAATGGCGGGGACACCTCCGGAAACACCGTTTTGTGCGAGCCTGCGCAGTGGACATGCACATGGACATTTCACAAGAGCTATTTTGTTTGGAAATTTACAGGGAAAATGCCAAAGGCAACAGGTACCACCTCGATTAAATGCCGGGCCTTAACACCTACCATAAGAACCCCTCAGCGTGGCCAGTGCCAGTGGCCACACTGTTGGGACAAATGTTTTTTCGGGGTCTATCCCAGGGTCTATATTAATGTACCAAAGTGTATATGCGCCACGCGCCAGGCGGGAGACCTACGACCTTCAGCGGCACGCCGCTAGCAGGCCTGGAAATCAAGGGAGAAAATTGCCCGTCTATACCATCCTGGAAACATTTTTTTGGGGGTTGATAAAACATTCCTAGACTCTCCAAGTGCCAAGAAAAGTGTTGGGAATATATAAATAAATAAATATATATATATATACAATGTGGGGCCCCCTAGTAATAACTTAAGTTATAACATGGGGTAACTTAAGTTATAACTGGGGGTAACATAGTTTATAAGTATGCTAACTTATGTATAAAGTTAAGCAAGATATAACTGAAGATAGCCTCATGAGGCAAAAAAGAGATAAACAAGTTAGACAAGTTAGCTTTTGATCGTGGCAAATCGGATGCATCCGGTTTTAAAACCAGAATCTCTGCTGGATTTGATGGCTCAAGTTTGCATTTTGCACGAGATGACCATGGCGCAGGTGGAAAACCAGCAATTGCGCAGGGCGACCATGCAGGACTATAGAAGTTTTCCACTATATTTATCCCAGGAAGTTTGGGACTCACTGGCTGATCGGAGAATCTCCCCACTGAGTCGGGTGGATCGCTTGGTTAGATACTTAGTGAACAACCTGGGAATGCGGCATCCGAGCGAGCCATCGATGGCCGTCATGGCGGCCTTGGTGGGACAGCAGGACAATCTGACAATTCCACAGTTGCTGACGTTGCTACAAACGGTCAAGAGTGTCTTGAAGACAACAGTGACACGGGCTGGACACGCTGGCATTCCATTGCCAGCAGGTCGCTATTTGGAGGCGTTGCCCAACCAGGTGGCAGAGTTGCCGAGCGATGTAGCTCAGGCGATGGCCCCTGGTGGTTTCGCAGCTCCGCCCGCGACTGTGGATTTGAATGTGGTCTGGCAAACTGCCCGCACCATTCCCTTGCGGAATACCCATCGCGATGTGCAGTTGCAGAGGCAGTTGGAGAATCAGCAGAACATGCTCGCCGTGCAGGGATTACCAGATCCTCGCCTGGCAGGTTTACAAATGGCACAGACGGTTGCAGCGTTTGCCGTTGCCCTGGGTGGACAGACGGCAGGCAGGCAGCCTGATGCGCTGCCGAACTTGCAAATGTTTGGACAAGCTGCAGAGCCTGCCAAGCCAAAGCCGGTTGCTGGGGTTCGTGCGTTGATGGACAGGGCAGAGGCATCGACGGTGCCGGCGACACAGGTTTCGGCTGAAAGCAAGCCAGATCAGGTTGAAGGAGCCTCGCGAGATGCGTCTGCTGCAACGACGGATACGTCTGTGGCTGCTGCAGCGGGCGCCGAGCCACAGATGGCACAGCTCGCTTTGGAAGACGTGCCGAGCAAGGATACTTTGGATGCTAGCAAGGGGACGGACGCTGGGTCGGCTGCAGGGGATCAGCCGATGGGAGATTTGCAGGGCATGCCTGCAAGCGTTCAGGAGAGTGTGCGTCGGCTTGCAAATGCTCACTATGGCAAAGATTTGCCTGCTGAAGCTGCTCCAGGAGAGCCAGGTAAGACTGCCAAGAGACGTGGCAGGCCTCCGGGTCAGGCCATGAAGCGTCCTGCAGCGAAGCAATCTGTGGAGAATGATGAAAAAGACTTGCCATCAGCTGCCTCTTGCATGAAACGTCCTGCCAGCAGATTATCGGCTAAACCGGCTGCTGCCGCTCATGTTGGCAAAGCAGCAAAGCAAATATTGCGCAAGAAGCCAGCAGCCGACAAGAAATGCCAGATTGTGACCGAGAAGCAACGCCACAAGGAGCGACCGAATGGATGTGCAACCTGTAGACATACTCCTGGGTGTTGCCCGAGCTGTTGGCGCAAACGTGGCTTCACACTAGCTTGAACATGAGAAACGAACAGTGTGTTCTGGAAATTTTGCTTTGTCACTCTGAGCAAACCGAAAGTTGTGAGAAAAGCATTTGCCGTTTGTCTTTTTGAACGCTTGTCGTGTAGGCTCCTGCTTCTTCTTGTTTGACATGCTTGCAATGCAATGCATATTGGTTATCATATATGTTTTATATATCCATACTTTTTTTTCGGTTCATGGTATAGTTGCTTACCGGTTTGTGCCCCCTGTTGCCATGGAGGTGAGAGGCCTTGTGGGGTCCGTGGATGCCAATGGCATCGTGCAGTTCTCTAGCGGTGGACAGATAGTGTCCAAGGAGGATCCAACTTTGAAGCAATTGTATGGCAGCAACGGCGACAATATGCCGCAGGCAGTTTCTACAGCTGTTGCAGCACCAGCAGATGCTGTTGGTTTAGTGCCAGGCGAGATAGCTTGGCAGGAACCATGGCGCGGACAGGTTGATGCGGCTGCGAGGGACACAATCGCTGAGATTGAAGATCGTGGAGATATCGACTTGGACATTTGTCCAATCTATGAAGATTTGAAGAAGCTCCGCATGCGTCTGCGGACGGAAGAGGTGGTTGATCAGGACCAGGCACTTGAGCTAATCGAAGGCGGTCGGATGTTTTTGTTTCTTTGTGAATGGGATGATTCCGAGTCCTGACTATGGAGTTGTTGAGTGTATATGCGAGGGGATTCCTTTTGATTTGTGCTCGCCTCTGGGGAAAAGAAATGTATGGAGAAGTGGTGCGGTGAGAGCCAGGGGGTTGGAAGCAGCAGGCATGCACATGGTCTGCAGGAATTACACGACTGCACGATGGTGAAGCAATTTTTTTTCCGCAGGTTTTTTGTTTGGCTCATGACAGTTGTGCTCGGTCCTCTGCACTTGGGGTCTGTGAGGAGGCTGGACCGATTGAAGCTTTATATGGGGCTGGGGTATAGCTGCTTGGCAGATACAGAAATGATATAAATTATGATATATGAATGTGACATATATATGATAATATATTGGAATATATTTATATTGAAATATGGAAATGACTTGATACTGACAGATACCATCTATATATAAGGAAGGATAATATATATGGTTGCTTAGACTCGAGGAGGAGGATCGCTCAGTCTGCGGACGAGCGCGATGGGATAGCGGAGGCTTCGAACTCGTTGGGATAGCTCATTCTTCGGACTAGCTGAGTTGCATCGCTGAGTCCATGGACTAGCGGGGTTGGATAGCTGAGTCTTCGGACTAGCTGGAACGGCTGAGTCTCCGGACCGCAGCAGAGTTGGATCGCTGAGTCCACGGACTAGCGGGCATGGATCGCTGAGTCTTCGGACTAGCGGAATGGCACGCTCAGTCTACGGACTAGCGAATAAAGGCTGAGTCTTCGGACTAGCTGGGGTAAGCTGAGTCTTCGGACTAGCTGGGGGAAGGAGAGTCTTCGGACCTGCGCAGAGTTGGATCGCTGAGTCTGCGGACTAGCGGAATGGTGTGCGGATTCGACGGACAACTATTTTTTGCATGGTCATTTGCTGCGCTCTTTCCACCACGGGGTAATGTGTCAATATAGTTTATACAATGTGTATATAGCCAATGCTTTAGCTAAAATTCCCCATTCTATACGCATAATATATATACCATCCCATATACCCATTGATGATGTTCCCACATTCTCAATCTCCTTATATGTTTCATTGTTGGCACCTGGCAGGGGCATGGCGTCTTCGAGTCGGTCGAGGAGCCGCTCCAATAAGAGGAGCCCGGATCGCGACGGGGCAACCAAGGAGAAAGAGGAGACCGAGCCGGAAGTTCCCTCGCCTAAGGGCGAGGAAACAGCGCCTAAGGGCGAGGAATCGGCGCCTAAGGGCAAGGAATCTACGCCTGCGGGCGGTGGAGCCGCTGCGACGGGCGAGGGAGCCATGCCTATGGGCGGAGGCAACACAGAGCCTCGCGCGTCGCAGAGCAAAGCGCGCACCACAGGCGCCGTGCAAAATCGGCGCAAAAAAGGCGATCCGGGCACCTGGACCTGTGACGAGTGTCACCGGACGATTGCCGACAATCCCTGTTCCAAGAAACAGCATTGGGACAGCTTGTATTGTCGTGCCGCCAGGCTGTACAACACGGGCTATGCTGATGGGGATTGGGAGGCATGCAAGAAGAAAGTGGAACGGACCTGGTACGAAGAGGAATGGGCGGACGCTGGCGATCTGCGTCTGCGATCGAATGAGAGATTGCGCGGATCAGATCCACCGCCAGAGCCCTTGAAGCCGCCTCGCAACGAACCTGGCAGTGCCCGCAGCCATGGCCGTTCTCCTGGCCGGCATGAGCGCAAGCGCTCGCATGGCCGCGCGCGATCTTCTGGCCGTCAGCGGCGCACGAAGTCTGCAGATGGCAGAGGCAGGCGCAATCGCAGCCGCAGCCGTGACAGGCGCGCGCGGGAAGGTGAACGTAGGAAGTCCCACAAGGACGACCAGGAGGCGGACCATGAGGAGTACGTCAAGGTGGTGGTGGAAAAATACGAGCCCAGGCCCAGGCAGACGACACAGCGGCAGGAAGCAATTCCTAAAGGCCCGCAGAAGCCACCACCGCCCAGGCCGGTTGTTAAGCAGGAACCGGTTTCGTCCGAACGGAAGGACAAGCAGCAGCCGCAGCAACGAGGCAAGACGACGTCTGCCGCAGAGGAGACGCCTGCGAGCTCATCGGACTATACCTATGAGTATGAATCGTCGACGCCGGAAGGTGGAGACGTGGAAAAGACACCCATGGCCGTGCCTGCGGGCAAGAGGTCTTCCGGAGACACTGCTGGAAAGGCAACTGCGGCGACTGCTGCTGCGCAGAAGAAAGCTTTGCCGCCGCAAAAGGCGGAAGGCAAAGACAGGGCCGCTGGAAAGGCAGATGCTGCCGGGCAGCACAAGGACCTGATGGTTGCGCTGCTGAAGACGGCCATGGAAACGGTCGGTAAGTCTTTCCAGTAGAAACTTGCATGGGACTTGCTGTACAGACCATAGAAACTGCACCTGCGAGGCATAAAAAAGGGGAAATGTGGGAAACGCGGCTGTGTTTCCATTGAAACTTCGAAAAAACATCAGAAACGCGACTGTGTATCCTGGGTTACATGCCAGCAAGCTTGGGAGCGCGCTTGTGTTTCCTATTGCTGATTAAATAAACGACTGGAAACGCGTATGTGTAAAAAATGTGTTTCCTTGAGATAACTCTGAGTCTACTTATGGGGATGTGTTTCCAGCACTAGGGGGATACGCGAATGTGTTTTCAACCCAAAATATGGTTGTTAATAGGGCACGCGTATGTGTTTCCTACCCATAGAAGAATCTTCGTGGAAACGCGAATGAGTCAAAAATGAGTTTCTTTGTGTTTCCTACATGGCCACTTTACCGCAGCTTTTTTCAGGGAATCTCAAGGGAACGTCGCCATTGTCCCTGGCTGTTCTGTTGGCTGACAATGATGGAGGTGCCAACGGTAGAGATTCCGGATATGACGCAGGATGCCGTGGAAGTGCCTGCATCGCAGCCGGATGGCGCAGAGGCAGCCGCTGAGGCTCCTGCAGCCGCTGAGGCGCCTCCGCCTGAGGGCGCTATGGCGACGGACGTGCCTACGGTCGAAGACAAGGTGATCTGTCGACGCTGTACCTCGTCTGTGCAGAGGGATGAAGCCATCTGCACCCCCAAGTTTCGAGAAGACCTGCGTTGGACGTGCAAGAGTTGTCATGCTGTCAAAGGACAGCTCGCTCGTCATGGCATTGAGCTTTCCTCATGCCTCACTGAAGATGATGTGGTGGCCTTTTACCAAGATTCTCGAGCGGAGCGCATGAACAGTGTGGACAAGAGGCTGTCCTTCTCGCAGGCCGGAGGCGTGCTGAAGAAGAACATGATTCACTCGTCTTCCCGGGTTGACCGGGAAGGTGAGTCTGGTGAGTACCATCCTCTCGCTTATTGGGAGCTAAGAGGATACAATGTTGCCAGGATAGAAGAATTGGCAGACAGGCGAACCCATCCCATTCTGGGAGAGACGTATCGTGTGGATATCACAAGCAAGAGCACAGACTTCATCACCAAGGTGATGGAAGAACGTCTGCTGCGCATGGAAGCCGATTTCCGGCAGAGGCTGCAACGCGCGCCGCCACCAGGCGCGGCTTCGGGAGCGTCGCAGGATCCGCCGCTAGAGTTGGATTTGCCCGCTGCCGTGGAGTTGCCAGAGAGTATTGGAAGGAAACGTAAGACCCCAGAGGAGAAGAAGGCTCAGCAAGAGGCTGCCAAACTGCAGCGACAGGAAGATAAAAAAAGGCAAAAGCTTGAAGCAACAGCGGTCGCTGCTGCAGGCGAGCTCTTGCCGCAACTGCAGAAGTGCAATTTGCGTTTGGAGCAAGCGCTGAGCAAGACAGAAGCTCTCCCTGTGCGCATGCCGTCGGCAATGGAAGAAGACATTGGCAAAGCCAAGGAGGCGCTCGCAAAAGCCAGCGCGAATGCCTCGAAGATGCTGCAAGGCGCGGCGAAAGGACAGAGATTGGACGATATGCCTGCAGAGGCATTGCTCATCGACAAAGCGCTGCAACGGGTGGTCAAGGACGGAAATGAGGCCATTCGCAGTGTGCAAGGATTTGTCAAGGAGCAGAAAGAGAACGCGGCGCCAAAGAAGGCAGCTCGGGGCAAAGGCAAGCAGCAATGACTTGAGAACGGTTCCCATGGTTCCGTGTGTTGATTTGACACAAGGACTGGGGTTTGATCCGCTTGTTTACCGCAAGCGACAGGGCGCGACACTGTCCATACGCGTGAACCATAGCACGCGTCGGAGAGATGCCTTTGGAGGAATCGCTGTCGGGGAAAGTTCTCATATCATGTTTCCATAGGTTCTTGGGTCGTTTGCCGGTTTGCAAGTTTGGTAAATATGATATATCAATGATTCTTCTGTAAATAAAACACTTCCCGAGGTCAATCCCTATATAGTCCCTGGGGCCACATGTATACATGCATAAAATATCGTT